GGTCAGAGCCCCCCACGCACAGGGGCCCCTCTGGTCAGAGCCCCCCGCACAGGGGCCCCTCTGGTCAGAGCCCCCAGCACAGGGGCCCCTCTGGTCAGAGCCCCCCACACGGGGGCCCCTCTGGTCAGAGCCCCCCGCTACCACTCAGTCTCTAGAGGAGGGAGAGTCACTGGCTCCTGAGGCCGCTGCTTGGAGAGGAGCGCACGGAGCCTGGGCTCCTACTGCTGTTTCCACCAATGCACGCCCAGTGTGCAACACACTGGGCAGGAGCCTGCCTCCCACACCCAGGCCTGGATGGAGACGCGCACCTGGGGCGGGGTGGGGAGGCGGGGCCCCCCTTTGCTGCAGCCCCAGGGGAGCTGCGGAGGCACGACCACCGTCCCAGAGCCGAGGAGCTGTCACACCGCTGTCATGGAGAGGCTGGCACTGCGCAGAGGAGGCCACGCTTCAAGGCTACGTGGCTGGGATGGTGGGGGTCCGGGCCAGGGTCACACCTGCACCTGTCGCTCAGCGGGGGCATCACCCCAGGGGCCTGAGGGTCACACACGTGGCCCTCAACTCCCACAGCTGGGAAACCTGGTCCGGGCAGCGCCAGGCAGGAGCCAGCCAACCAGCCAGCGGTACCGAGGGCCCCCGGCTCACCTCACCTCAGATAACGCCCCTCTCTGACAATAAGATCTTCTTCGTTAGGAGTTTGTCTTAAAAGAACCAGCGAGTAGGATGGCGCGAACACTCCAGCCAACGGCCTCGCTGCTGCTTCCGGACAGGATTGAACACACAGTGGAAGCCGGGGCGCCTACCTCCACCACGGACTTGGAATCCAGTCGGAAGTTGAAATCACCAAACACGAAGTAGGACGCCTTCTCGAACCTCTGGTCGCTGATCCTGGAGGAGAGGGGGGAGGAGTTACCAGGTGTGCTGAGCCCACCCACCCGCCAGCCCGCATCTGTCCCACGCACTCCCCACACACGCGCTTCCTGCCGCGGAAGACAGACTTGTCCGGAATCTACCGTGGACCCATCTGCATGGAGGTGTGTGCGCCAGCGCGGCCCCTCGCTGGGTGGGAACCACAGCCACGCCGGGAAGGAAAGGGGCGGGAAAGGACTCAGAGAAGTGGCGGGGAGCTGGGGGGGAGATGGGGGGGGTGGCACATGCAGGGCAAGCACGACACCCAAGCCGCTCTCCCCGGCCCTTGGATGGCTCCTCCTGGTCAGTGGGGGACACTGAACTCGCTCTCCAAGTGTCACTCGGGGATAATTTCAAAGTTACAAAGTAAGAGCAATTCCATTTTTTTATACCAGGTACTGCCTTGCTCAAAAATTCTGCCCATGTTTTAAATCAATCACAATTCATTTCACAAAGATTTTTCAACTGAAGAAGGCAAACCCAGCAAATGTCGGTCAGCGGTTATGTCGGCAGCCCCCTCACAGGCCTCTCCTCCCGGTGACGGTGACCAGGCTGGGAGCACCGCTCACCCCGACCCTTTGCCCACCCACGCAGCAGCGGGAGCCCAGGCTGGGCCGGGGGGAGGGAAGAGCGCGCCCATCACCGCCAACTCCAGAGCAAAATGAGAACCACTGCTGACAAGACAGCTGTGTGAGAGCCATGGTCCGTGAGCAAGGAAGGTCCGGCGAACGCAGTCCCCAACCTCCCACGCAGCTGCGGCTGCAGAAGGCACGGGGCTGGGGGCTAGGGCAGCGGACAGACCAGACCGTGCGCGGGGATGGACTTTGAGGAACTAAATGTTATCGGGTGGCAAAGCCAGGGAGCACCGTGGCCCACGTGCACCCCAATCCCTCTGGCTGGTGACCTAGAAACCCACGAGCCGCAGTGCAGGCGGGAGCGGGCGTGCCGGGGTGTGGGCGGGCAGGGCTGCGACACTGGAATGACAGGGCAATATGGTGAGAGGAAGGTGACTACGTCTATTTATTTATTTTTACAGGAGGCACTGGGGATCAAACCCAGGACCTTGTGCCTGCTAAGCATGTGCTCCACCACTTGAGCTATATCCTCCCCCCATGACAGGGCAATATGACAAAATTTAGGTTTTTATGACAGAACCACAAGGTTGAGTGGGAGCGACACAGCGGCTGTGTTTCCAGCTCTGCAGGGTGGGTGCCACGTCCTCAGTGGGCGGTGCCCCCTCCAGGGGACAGTCGCGTCCCCGCCGTGGGTGTGGTAGCCTGGGCGCCCTGCCCGTGTGGCCGCATTGGAGGGGACGCAGCCCTGGACGGCGAGCAGGCCGCCCCCTGCGCCCGGAGCCTGCGCTCCCTCCTGCTTGCACCTGCCTGGCTCTTCCCGCTCTGTGCCTTCTGCTGCTTTGACCTCTTCTGAGACGGGCGTGGCGACGCTGGGTTCACAGCACCCGAGCCACACACAAGCCTTGACTTCCACGCAGGCCCCCCGCCCCGCCCCCGGCTGCTGGTGCTTCTTCTGAGGCCGATCCACGACAAGTTCTCTCATCTCCAAGGCGAGTCGCGCCATCAGCCTTTAATCTATCTGGAATTATGCGTGAAGCAGGGATCTGAGTTTATGGATTTTCCCAGCGTCGATCGATCCGAGCCATTCCCTCTCATGCCACCCTCGTCCCCGAGCCCGTGCAGAGTCCCCGAGTCACACCGGTCTTTCTGCGACTCTGTTCTTCTCTGCAGACGTCTGATCTATTCCCAAACACTTCCCACTAGCAGGACTTTCTATAGGGAAGCCCTTCTTGTTGAAATTCCTTTAAAAATTGTCTCAACTGTTTTTCAATTTCTCTTGCATATTAATTGCCGTATCATCTTGCTAAATTCCAGGGAGTCTCATTACCCTTTTAAATTGGATTAACTCTCATACACTTGAATCTGAAGAGGAAAGGACGTATTGTAACAGACTGTCATTAACAGTGACGATGGCCAGAAGTTTCACTTCTTTTGAAGTTACGTCTTCCTGCAGAGGAAATACTGCCCAGAGATGGGACACGGGGCACTGGCAGGGACACCGGTGGGTCAGCCCTGGCTCGCCCACGTCACGTACACACGTGTGGCATGTGTGTACAGCTGGCCCTTGGACGAGACGGGGTGAGGGGCGCCAGGCCTCCACTCGGCAGCAAATCCACGTATAGCGCAGAGTTGGCCCCAAATCCGCGGTTCTGCGTCTGCAGATTCAATCAACTGCAGCGGTGCCATCCCACGGCGTCTCCCGCTGAAAATGCAGTGACCTATGCAGCCTGGACCCGTGCTGCTCCAGGCCGGAGGTCTGGGTCACGATGCAGGTGTGTGGTGGGTGTCAGCGCACATGTCACGTGAGCACGTGTGGCATAACATACGTGTGTGCCTGCACGCCCAAGTGTCAGGTCCGTTTCTGATCAAGTGCCCCTCCGCCCCATGAGCCTGAGGGGACGACCCCAGGCTGAGGACCCTTCGCAGAGCAGGGGCCTGCCCGTGCCCGCCAGCTCTGGACCAACTCTGGGTCCGTTCACCCCCATCACGTCGGGCTTTAACGAGCGCACCACGCTCAGTCGCGGCCGCCACGCCGGTCCTGGGGTCCCCGGGGGCCTTGAGGAGGTGACAGAAGACGGAGGTGGATCCCGCCTGGGGGCCCAGGGTCCCCACAGCCAAGAGTGGCTCCCGCGATGCCCGCAGGCACGTCAGCGCCGCCGTCCCCTGCTGCCCGCGGAGCGGCGCCCAGCGGACCGACCATCTCACTGCGATGGGCAGGGAAGGAACTTAAAAGAAGCACGAGCAGCCGACACCCGGAGTGTGTATTAAGGAAGCAAGCAACTGTTTGGCTAATTAAACGGCAGACCCTACCTTGAGGCAACCTCCTTTTTAAAAAACGACAAATTTCAGATTTAGTTTGGGGCTGAATCAACTATAACAGCTTTGGCGGTCCGGAGGGAGAGCAGGCTGCGTCGCACGGCCTCTTCCAGCAGCGTGTCCTGAGTCTGGTGATGCCGTCGTTAGGGCCTGAGCTCCCTGCCTGCTCCTCCCGACGTGAGGGCCTCGGCCCATCAACAACAAGCCCCACTCTGAAGAGCGGGAGACACAGCAGCGGGAGGGGGGTGCCCCAGAGCCTCTGCTCCCCGCCACCCCGCGCACTCACTTTTAATTTCAATATAGCACCATTTGGGCCAGGAAGAAAGAAGAGTTGTTTTAAAATTAATTACCTTGTCAGGAGCTATTATGATTAAAAAGTAGTCCCCGTCAATACCGGGGGCCTGATTCAAAACGAGAATCACAAGAAAGGCCGTAAAGATCAATGCTTCAGGCCTTGAGAACAGCCTCCGTCCTGACGGGCGATTCTGTCACATGATGGACACCGCGCAGAGGGGCCACCCCGCGGGAGGGAGGGGTGCCGACCAAACATTCGAGGGCACATGTTTCTACCTAGGGCGTCTGCCCGCTGGCCGTGGGCAGGATCAGACCTTCACCCCAGGACTGGGAGTCAGGCCAGTGAGGGGCTGGCGTGCCCGGTCGGCTGGCACCAGGATCCTTCCTGTGTTGACTTTAACTGTGGAACGTGGTGGTACCGACAGACATCTGAGATCGGGCGAGGCCACATCCTCAGAGCAAAACCATGCCCACAGAAGGCGACTGAGACTGGCAGCTGACCCCAGAGTTCAAGCTGCCCTTCGCCTGAAGCAGCTGACGGAAGGTTCATCGCGCACACCTAACTGCCTTCAACAGACTGATGTCACGCTTGGCTCCCCGCCTACCCGCCCAGTGCTGCCCTGGGCTCGGGCCTGGGCGGGCAGGCAGCCCCCAGGTGGACAGTCATACTTTGTTGTCCCAGACGCGCATGGGGCAGAGTAGGGAGGGTCCCGGAGAAGCAGAAAGGCTTCTGTCAGCAGAACCTGAGCCAGCGCCGGGCGAGCCGCCATGTCCCTCCCGCGTCAGGTGAAGTGACTTGCCCACCGGCAGCGCACAGTCAGGGCACCACGCGCCCTCCGGCCCAGGGTGTCCTGACTTCCCCAGCATGCTGTCCTGGCCAGGAATGCGCACGCCCCTCCAGCAGGCAGGCTGAGCCCAGTGCAGGTGACACTCACATGGGACGGACCTGGGGAAGTCGCAGCACGCTAAGGCCACTGCCTGAGGCAGTGAGAACAGAGAGTGAGCTGGGCCAGCCGTGTGGCCAAGGAGACGTCAGTGACGAGTCCGGGCCTTTCCCTGGTGACTGCTCCCTGTTTCTGAAACTCCCTCTCATCTCAGCCAGCTCGTGGCCAGCACTCATAGCCCACAGGGCACTGAACCATCTCCCACACTCCTCTGATGTGGCTTCCGGGAGACAGGCCCTAAGGAGGTGATGAAGGTTATGGGGTCATGGGGGCCCTGGTCCTCGTAAGAAAGACACTAGAGCACCTTCTGTGCCGTGAGAACACAGCAACAGGGCAGCCGGCCGCCGTCCAGCCGGGAGCGGGCCTTCCAGACCTGATCACGCGGGCCCCGTCCGGGACCTCCAGCCCCAGAGCTGTGGGAGACGGAGCGGTGGCTGCAGCTGCGGGTTTGCGGGAACCTGCCGGGCCTGCGTTTCCACTCTGTACACCGAGGCCGCTGCCTCTGTAGGTGGGGCCGGGGCAGGAGGCACTTCTCAACCGCTAAGGCGCTTCGCCAGCCTCCACAGGGACAGGCTCCTGTCGGTGACCCCTCCCTGTCAGAACGTCAGAACTCCTCAAGGCAGAGCTGCCAGGAGGAGTCCCCCCCCTGCCCCCCCCCCCCGCCGCCTGCCTCCATCAGCAGGTGCTTTGATGTGTTCTCTCAAGAGCATCACAATGTTAAATGCGCATCTTCTTCAGAGGCCACCACAGCCAGAGGAGCGGAGCAGACCTTTAGCCTCCTGGGACCACTCAGGTCTCCACTTAAGTGGTGGAGGAAGCAAGACTGGGGCACTTAGAAAGCCAGGGAGCCTTTACACCTTCGATGCCAGCAGACACCGGACCCAGTGCTCAGGAAACGCAGACTACTCTGTGTTCACAGCCTGACCTTTAGCAAAACCCTGAGCCGCCCCAGAGGAAGGCCAGCAAGATGGCTGTTGGGTGCGGGGTGGGAGGGAGCTGCCCCGAGGGGACACAGTGCAGCACGGACGTGACAGCCAGGAGCAAGAGCTGCAGAGGGAGGCGCTGGCGCCGCCATCCCCACGACCCTGCAGAACTTTACCTAAGGTGCTGGCGGAAGCCCGCGTGCCCCAAAGGGACACGATGCAGACTCGGGACAAAACACAGCACGGCGCACGCGCCAAGCCCGGGACCGGGGCGGGAGTGAGCGCATGTCCAGGGAACGTCGGCACGGGCTTGGGAAGGGGCACAAGAGGGTCAGGACAGAGAGCAGGGGCGTCTGGAGCACCCACGTGTCCTTCCTGAACAGAAGGACGAGTGTGGAAAAGCACAAATGTGTGGCTGCTGAGTGGAGGGCAGGAACTTCCACCACCGCCCTCCACGCTGGCCTGGGTGCTCGGGTTAGCTTTCAGTAAAGGACACGTCACAGAGCCACGGCCACCAGAGCTGTGAGGAACCGTGAGCTCACGGACGTCACACACATCCTCCCGGGGCCGGCCGGCCTGCCCAACGCTAGAAACACAGGGGAGCCCAGAGCCCTCAGCTGAGGAGTGTGGGCCCGTGCTGCCCGTCGGACCCGGGACTCTCGTGTCCGTGCTGGGCCCCACACAGACACGGGACACCCAGGCGCTGGAGGGCGCAGGCTGGAACCAGGACAGGGTGCGGCAGCCAGCTCCCCAGGCCGTCGGGCGGGAGGCGAGGTCAGGGCGGCCAGCCAGGCGGGGCGTCCTGGTGACCTGCACCCGGAGCAGGGAGTCAGCCTCCGCCTGGAGACCTGTGGCTTTTCTTCTGCTGGCTGCTCAGCGAGGCGAGCTCTGGGAACGGCCGGGAGAGAAACCCTGAGACCGGGGTCTTTGAGCGGCTGACAGCTGACTGATGACCGCCCGCGGGACAACAAAGGGGCCCTGTGTGGCGGCCGCATCACACCGCCTCACCCTGGGAAACTAATTGCTCGGAATTGTTCCGGGCAGCATTATTTTTCTGGCAATCATTTTCTTTGAATGCCCAAAATGAGCGTGAAACAAGTCTTTTGACTGGACATAAAAGTTAAATGTCCCAATGTTGATCAAATTAACTTCAGCGCTGTGACAACGGACTGTATTTGTGAGGAGATACTGGGGGGACAAAGGGGCGCTTTATGCCCAGATTTCACAGTTGTGATGTAAAAATGTTCCTGCGAACCTGGCCGGGCTGCATTTCAAAGGGGAGACACAAGAGCCCTGTCACTTGTGGAAAAAAACCTCGTTTCACAGCAGAAAGCTTGGGAGACTTCAGGAAGGACTGTGTGAGTGGAGGTGTCTGCCCCTGTTCACCGCCCCAAATGCTCCCCAAGACCGTGACTGCCGGCCTGGGAGAGGGCCATCCCCACGGGGGGCACAGAGGGGCAGGCGGCCCCCACAGCCCACCCTACAGCCCGGTGGAGGGTCCGAGCCACTCCTCCAGGCGGTCGGGACCCCAGGCCCTACGCAGAGGCCGGGACACCCGGTGTGGCTGCCCACTCCCAAGTCTCCGAGCTTAACGCTCTTCACTAATAAAGAGGTTTGTCTCCTTTTAACTTGTAAAATGAGAGACTTACAGTAAAATATTCGTTGCACAAGAAACATCAAGATTATCACTTGCAATAAAAGCCCAGGTGAACCCACTGGCTGCCCCTTGTTAACACTGGGAACGCTGTTTTCCGACGCCAACGTGAGTCCGCCCACGACGCCGGCGCAGCTACCAGGTGCTGCTTGGAGCCTCGGCTCAAAGGTTACACATTCCAGATGAGAGTTTCCCTCTCGGGTTTTTTTAAGTAAGCTTTGAAGTTTGGAATAACCTTAGATTTATAGGAAAGGTGCGAATGCAGCACCAGGTGCCTCTCATTTTAACCCGAGCCCCCACACCCCCCCGCCCCCCACTCGTGGGGCCGGCGTGCCCCCTCCCGGCCTGACCCGGCTCCGAGGGAAATGCGGCCTGCAAAGCTTTACAGGGGATTAAGCCAGGAAGGCGGGCCGCCTTCGGAGCCTCCTCGCTGTCTCCCCGCGTCCACGCCGGCCCGCAGACAATGTTCCCAGAGGTTCCCAGCGCCGTGAATGGGGCACTGTTGGTGGCAGAGTCCATTCAAAGGGCCAGCGTGGCATTGTCCTCCCGGTCGGCAGTGCAGAATGCAGTCTGCTGGTGGCTGCCAAAAGGTTAGCTTCCGCGATGAAAGGGCGCCCGTCAGTCACCGCGCTGCAGAGCGGCCCTTTGTGCGGGCAGCCGCCCCGCGCGGCGGAGGTCCGGATCCGCGGCTGGCTGCGCGCCTGGACTGCCAAGGCACACG